CAGCAGCAGCAGCAGCAGCAGCCGCAGCAGCATCACCAGCGAGGTGAGAGCCGGGCTGCAGGCGAGTGTAGTGTGGCTGGTGTTGGGGCTGGGAAGTGGCAGCGTTGCACTCACGATGGCGGTGTTGAGGAGTCGGAGGGTGCCTCTATCCCTGTCGGCCACAGAACCTCCACCTGCGGCCATGCCTGCCCCAAACTGGAGCACGGGCCGCCCAGTGAAGAAGGAAGGCTGCCAGGCGATGCGGACCGCCTGGCCGCCGCTAGGTTTATTAGGTATATGCATTCTTATTCCCTCCCTCCAAGAGAGGTGAGTCACAGCTGTGAGCATTGCCGAGAGGCTGCGGGCGCCACTCAGGCTAGTGAGGGCTTTGGCAGGCAAGGCCGTAGCAAGAGAAGTGGTACCAGCCGTGCACCTCATAGGCACATCACAGTGACTATTAAGAAAAGAGATGGGAAGCTGGGGCACCCCTTACTTAGCCAGCTGCTCACCTCCAAACAGAGGCCTGCTCGGTATCTGGCCCACCTTGTCCCACCTAAGATCACCCCTTTACCCAGCACTCAGGGCAAATTAGCAGGTAAGAGGTCTGAGAGTACATCCCAGGCAGTTTCAAAGGTGAAGGAGGAGGAGTTCAGAGTTACCAGTGATTTTAAAAACTGGGGAGTAAGTCAAGCTGAAGAGCCTGACTCAGGGCCTCTGTTGTCACCTCTTGCCTTAGACCTAGAGAGCTGGGTTAGCCAACAAGATCCAGGGCTAGACATTGGCTTTGGACTAGAACTGGGCTGGCCAATCCAGGGGGGCTGTGGGGAGGATGTTGACCATAATGATGATGATGATGATGGTGTTGATGATGATGACCATGTCACGGGAAGCCCTGCAGCGGTGCTCTCACAGGGGCCACCAAGCCCACTCTTCCCAGAAACTATAAATGCAGAGCCCACCCTTTCCTGCATCATACAAGGGCAAGGGCACCCACACAGACAGGCGCTCAGCAAGCACCCCGACGACCAGGGCCACCCGTTGTTAGGTAATCATGACTGCATCCCCCCCTCTGGCCTTATCTCTGCTCTCTCTTCTCCCTCTCCTGCTCTAACCACTTCCCAGTTTGACTTCACAACTAACCCCTATTCTAATTCGAATCTAACAGTCATTCTGAGGGCATAAACAACAATGACAACAAACAGCCTGCTTGCCAATGCTTTTTTTGTTAATCCTGGAGGCATTCTTTGATTGAAATCTAGTGAAGTTAAAGAATAAAAGGAGGGGGTGGGAAAAGGGGTGAGCCTTGTCTTGCTACTGTACGTCTTGTATTCATAAAGTCGACCCTTGAACCATCCTTTGCTAATTGAGCTGAGTCTGCCGAATATGTACATTTAGAGCCCGGGTGCTGCTCTTTAGCGTTGTGCTACTAAAGCCACATTCCCTTAGCTGGAGCACAAGTCGGCCAGAGCCTCGGGCAACTGCACAAGCTTCCTTGACTCTCCTTTCTTCCTTCTTTTTTTTCCCCTCCTCTGCTGTTGGTGCATGCGATGATGACTTTAATGTCCAAGGAGGGGCTCACCCATTGTCATGTGTCTTGTTTGTGGCATTGTCTCTCTATGTCTTTACTCCATTCCAATCTGTTTGTTGTCGGGTTCGTCTGTGTCCCAGACACCTGCGAAACATGTGCCATCACTTCATCCTGCCTCACAGAGTGAACAGTCTATCCTAAGAGAATAAATTGTTAGAGAGGGGTCAATCTAAAAACATTTGCTTGGTACTATAGTGTCCATAGATAAACTTATCTAACTAGGAATGGGTGTTTTATTTTTTCAGTAATACCTGCATTTATTAGGCCAGCTTGAGATTAACAGTTGCAGAATGTGGACCTGTTCTCTTCTGCTATGAGTGCTATACCTAGATCAATAATTACCCATGCTCCTTTGTGTTCTGCAGCCAAACCAACCACCTTGCCACTTCCTTTGACCCCAGAGTCTCCAAAGTAAGTGTGTGAAGTTTTTCCACATTATTCTAGGCAAAAAGCAACAACAAACAAAAAGTCAAAGAAGACTATATAGACTAGAATCCAACTTGAGGCATTTTTGTGACTCATTTCCATTTTCTTAGATCACAAAATCTTTAAAAAGTCTCACTCTCACATTAAAATAAAATGTTGCCCTTTCTTTTTGTCTTGCAGTGACCACAAGGGATCACCGTTTGAGAACAAAACCATTGAATGCACATTAAGTGTGGAGATTGCTGGAACCCCAGGTGAGCATATGCTGATTGTATAAACAAATGTATTTATTTTGAAAAAAAGAGACTGATCTGTGGAAATCCTCACCTTTTGCTGCTAGTAATGGGTTAACTCTGCCTTTTCAACATCTTGATAGTTCCATCACAGTTTAAAGTTCAAGGTGAAGGCCTAGGAGAACATTTATGTGCCTGAGTATTGATTAGGCTTTCCAATCTCTCCAGGGTTTATTAGCAAACCCCTCCCATCCTCCGCCGTCTCCCCTCCCCTGTTAGTGAAGCGTTAATATGCTTTCCTTCTACCTCTATCAGATCCTAATGCTCTCTGACTGACAGCTTACTTAGCTCACACATCATAGGAGAAATGAAATGGCATTGTTTTAATTGGTTTTTGCTACGTAATCTAGTTTTGCCTGTGTGATCTGTACCATCTTTCCTCCTTCACCTTGCATGCATTTAGATCATTTGGAAATAACTTCCCAGTGTTTCAACTCGCATACAGTAGATGCTGTTTTGTAAATACAAGGGTTTTTCATCGTCATTTTGACATCATGCTTTCGTGTTATTTACACGTCATAGGAACGCGAGAGGCAGACGGTGATTATAAGACAAACATGAACAGAATCTGCATTTTTGGGCCACATCATTTCTATCTGTGGAAATGATTAATGATCCCCTTTAGCCGCAGATTAATTATCTAAATAATCTCAATCTCAATAAAAACAAAATGGCAGCCCTTCTACCTCTCAAAATATGTAACGTTACACTGGTTTCTTCAGGTGTTTATTTACCAACTAGGGAAATGGTCCTGATCCATACATGATGCCTGCGCCCTCTGCTTAATGGGAGATGGAAATGTGCAGCATTGGGGGGTCTGACTCTTTTCCTTCTGACCTTGGTTGAAGTGCCGTTTAACTCTTTTTGTGTTGCCAAGCCTGTGGGGTCAAAGGTGATGCTTGTTGAGACCTTAAGAAGGGAAAGAGCCGGGCTGCTTAAGCTCTGGGGCAATCGAGCACAGTTAATATTTCTTCCCGTTTTACTGCAAGCCTGTTGACCTGTGGCCAAATATCAGGCGTCCGTTCTGTTCCACCGCTTCTATTTTACAAGCACGGTCAAATAAAGTCCTTCACCTGACAGTGTGACCCGCTCTGCGCAAATTTAGGATTGAATATTAGCAGGAAAGTCATTAGTCCGGAAAGCTCCAGGTTACTGAGCCCCTTTCCTACTTAGGGATTAGCTTTTGAGTCTTGTGCTGCATGAGACAGATGGATATAGATCCCAGTAAGCAGAGGGGGAAGCTTTTAGGTCGGGAGTTACATGTCCTTTGCAGATTTAGACTAACATTCCTCTTGAATAGATATCATGCAGTTGTTACTGATAACCAGGTTGAAGCCAAGGGGGCGGTCCCACCCTCCACCTTCAAGGCAGGTGGACGACTCAGTGATGGAATTTTCCATGAACTGCTGCCGGTGACATATTATTTTATGCCTTTATGATGAGTTGTAGTAATGGTGATTACTGCTGCTTCATAGAAAATATTAATTTAATTATCAGTTGAATATAGACCTGTACCTGAGTTGAGCTGAGCTGTTGTGTTTAATACTATATATAGCACCCACTGAACTGTTGGTTGCATGTTTTCTCGACACACAACAGGCAGTGAGACCCCCGGGGATCGGACTGTTCAGGCCTAATCTCTGCCAAGCTAATAGATTTACCCTGTGCTGCCGTGTTGTCTTTAATTACTGTATCTCATGACACTGGGGTGGTCTGTGTGTTGCTATTTGCACGGCTTACTGGTGGATCAACTCTTTAAGCCTGGAGTTGTTATTCGCTCCGAGGTCTCCTCACAATTTACAGCTGGACGAGAAAAAAAAAAAAAACAAAGATTATAAAATACCCCTCTTTCTTTCTGTCTTGCTCACTTGCCTCATCATTTTCTCTCCGGTGGGCACATGATTGGTGTTGGTGTCTGCGGATCATCCATCACCAGCGAGATTGACTGAGAGGCACATATTTATCTAATTCTGATTTATTTCACCTCCATCGCTAATGGCTCCTAGTTTATGACCCCATACACACATTGTTTTGGACAGATGGTGCTTCATTGGCGAAACAGAAGTTCCTCAGGCATTGTGCAGCACCTCGACCCCCCCCCGCCCCCCGCTTTTTCGTTGCTCATTTCGTTGGCATAGTGCGTTCATGTCTACGTCTGCATCACCAGAATTGAGAGGAGGAAGAGAAGGATGTGAGAAAAAGGGGGGGGTGGAGAAGAGCGGGGGCTTGCAGTCCTACTTTCTAACACATCCAGATAATAAGTTGGAAGATAATTCGATGGATCAGGCATTCCAAACACAGCAAGTGGCTTCAGAAACTTGCATTTTTATGTATCAGGCTCCCACCCGCTCTTCGCCAAGCTGTCTTCCCGGTGCATACTCCAACACCGGATTTGATACTAATAGCTGTCATTTGGTGCAATTCACTAGCGAGGGGAAGACTGATGTGCATTGTAAGAAAGGCAAAGAGGAGGAGAGAGCGTAGGTGTTTCAAAGTGCCTGAGTTTGACTCCAGCAAGAGACTGTTGGTGACGAGTGCGTGTGGGGGCACATTTGTTCTGCACGAGACAGAAACAGGAAAAGACGCCGGGGGAGCGGCGATGGAAGGGAGGAAACGGAGACTGATCTGTGGAAGATGGCAGACAGGAAGAGTGAGGAGAGGGGGAGAATACGAGACTGAAGGCAAGGAGGAGGAAAGGGAGAATGAGAGTAATGGTGGCGGCTGTTTGTGTGAGTGCATTAACAATGCTATAAAGTGGGCTCATCTCAGGACTTGCCATATAACTGCCATCTGTCTGGTTGTAAATCTGTAGGAGGCAGGGGGGAGAGACGGGGGGCACAAGCAGTAGGGATATGCCATCTGAGAAGAATGACAACCCATTCGCCAGCCCTTCCTGCGCCTTCGTGACATAGCAGACATCTCGCCATGGCAACATCACCATGTTCATTAGGCGTATTGACATGCAGGACCTTCCTGCATTGTTTTCGAGAGATGGTGCTGGATCATCTTGAAACAAGCATGGCTTCATGTCAGTGCTGGTTATTTTAAAAGGGCTTTTGTTTTACTTGGATGAATTGGCTGCTGTCCAGGCGTTTGTGTGAGGCAGGCACAGATATGATATATGTACTTTTTTTTTTGATTGGATGCATGGATAGCGTTTGTCCTCTGCCGGATTTTGCGTTGTGGTTTTTCTTTTTGAGAAAAGGGATCTTTGCAAGGTCAGACAGGAAGGTGGTGGCAAGTCATCCGTATAACAGCACCACCATATTAAGTTACACCAAGCATTACATTAATCTTTCAAGATTGCAATAAAATAGAGATCAGGATTAGGCCAAGTGAAAGTGAATATTTTAATCAGGCATGTATCTGTATCCACTGTCCATAACTGACCAGGGAGTTTATAGATGAGCAAGGGGGGTATTTGGAGTGGTTTGCATTATGATTCCATTTTCATTTTATTGTCCCCCCCCCACACACACACCAATCCACAAACCTCTGTCTCTTCATCCTCCCGCAGGTCTGACACCACCTACCACGCCCCCACACAAAGCCAGTCAAGAGAATCCTTTCAAAGCATCGCTCAAAACCAAGTTGTCTTCATGTTCCTCCTCGGCCCTGGCATGCAAAAGAGCCAGGTTGACCGAGTTGGGCCCCAGCACTCTGGCCCCGGCCCCAGGTGCCTCAGGCGGGGGCCCCAACAGGAAGGGTCCCGAACAGACTGAGCTTTATGCCCAGCTGAGCAAAGCGTCCACCGCCCTCCCTTACTCTGCCACCAAACGCACGGCAGTGGGCTGTCTCGGGGAGCATTGCAGCACTAGCAACAATAAGCGGGCGGCGCCCCGTAGCTACAGTGACCATGACTATTGCCAAGCGTCAGCTAGCACTAAGAAGGACGGCGGCACAGCCACTGTTACCATGACTACAGCAGCGGAAATAACAGTCACCTCAGGTGCCGCTGCTGCTCCCATGCCTACCACAGGCAAAGTGGAGGACAGGCATGTCGAATGTAAGGACTCAGCCATGCCACCATCCTCTTCATCATCTTCATCCTCTTGCTCTCCATCATCAGCTTCATCTGGTCCTTTGGCTGAGCAGCAGAATGTTGCCTCTGTGGATGGAAGAGCAGTACGGGTCCAGGGGAAGCAGACCCTTACACAAACCACCCAGAGCCCCTCACAAGAGGTCGCAACTGACAGGGACCAACCACACCCTTCTGCCACCAGCCGGAAGCTCTTATGCGACCAAGAAATTAGAGCAGAACTCAACAAGCACTTTGGCCCCCCCTTACAAGCCGTCTGTAGTCCGGGTGGTCAGGCAAAAGAACCAGGCAGCAAATCAAACAAGGCTGCATCCCTTCAGGAGGGAGTGGATGACAGTTACTCCCAGAGGCAGCCTGGCCCCAGCTTCCTGCATCCAGGGTTCCTGCCCTTCCACGATGAGCTTGAACTGGGTGAGGGCCGCGAGAATCGTTTCCTCTATCCATGGGAGGGCACCCCTCTGGACCTACTCTTTGACTGCCCCCCCTGCTCTCCCTCCTGTTCCCCACCATCCAGCTGCTCCCCCTCGCGAGGCTCCGTCTCCCCACCCTCCTCTCTCCTCCTCTCGCCCGGCAGGCCTTTCTGCTGGACCAGCGCCCGCACCCGCACCCGCTCCCGTTCCCACTCTGGCTCCCGCAGCTCCTCCTCACACTACCGAGGGCGCTCCCTCTCCAGCTCACCTGACAGACGTCCCTCCTCTTGGTAAGTCCTCTCCCTCTCTTTCACACACACGTGCACATTTTCTGTCTCTTTTGGCTGAACCTTGGCAGCTCCCCTCCCATGCAGTTTAAACAGGGCTTAGCGCTGGCAGGGGGTCTAGCTTGGGAGTGTTAAACAGGCCTGATCAGTCGTCAGAGCTGATGTCAGACAGAAAAGACCCTGGAGACTCTTAGCATGGGTTCTTGACCTCCTGCTAGTCAAAGCTTTACCTGGACTAAATGCAGAATAGATTTAGCAAGGCTACATCCACAGTAATATCTTTTAGTTTTAAAACTCATTACTTCGGGTACATTTATGTCTGGCATCTGGAATTTGTTTATACCTGGGATTAACACACATCTTGGCTGATCCAATCAAGAATGGACAGCTCGGAGTACATCAGTTCCCGCTTGACATTAGAACACATCTCCATGAGTCTCCGGTGACCTCTTATGATTGGCTCTCTTATCCCTTATCTACATACAAATAGATATGTACATCATTGCTGTGTGCAAAGACCAAAATGTGTTGTTCTATTAAGCTAGTCCACCTATGACAGGCAATCAGTGTGTTTGCGCGTGTGTGTCAGTCAGAGAGAGAGAGAGACAGAGAGTGGAGCAAGGAGGGGCTGGGCGAATCAATGCTCTGTACACAGCTCTACAGCGAAATAAGATTTTACTAATTCCAAATAGTAATAAAACAGAAAATCAATATGTGGCATCAGTCAATGTTGATATTGTGGCAAGGTGCCACAAATAAATCAATTTGGGGGAAACGGTGCAGAGAGTAAAAATAGTTTGGTTCATTGTGAAAACTGATTAGGTGGTTTTTCTGTGGACAGATCTGCGTCAACACATGTAAAAGAATGTGGCCCCATGGGTCAGTGACCACCTCTGAATGTGTGGATGTTGTGCTGTCTCATCTGTGATCAGATCTCTCAGGAAAGATGTAAATGTCTGGTTTGAACCTGGCTCTTGGAAAGGCTGTGTTTTAGTTTGAAAAGTGCAGGAGCAGCCACATTATCTGCAGTCGTTATGCAAACCAGATTCTGCCTATTAAACCAGGTGGCACTTTGATTTCTCTGTGGGGAGAAGATTGGTTGGATGGTGCAATGAACAATGAGCTGAAAAAGAAAAAAAAAACAGAACATGAAAGGTGCCAGAGGCGTTGGACTTTTGAACAGTGTGAGTTTTCATCTCTAGGCAGGGAGTTACAGTATATTTGAGTGTCTTTCTAACACTCCCTTCCTCACTCGCTTCTGTTTGATGCCGGGGCTATTGTTTTAAGCAGCAGCTGTTGTTTTTACTGAGTGGCAAACCCTCCTCTTTTACATCCCCAGAGATGAAAGTCAAATCCAGGCTGTGGGAATGTAGTCTCGAAACCCTTCTCAAATGAGACTCCTATCATCATAGTGCTGCGTGAGAACTACATTTCCCATGTTTCCCTTTGATCAGAGCCGAGGGGGTTTCTGTTGGGGGTTTTTTTTGGTGGTAGAAGAATAAAAGCGAAGCATAGTTACTGAGAAGGGTGGAAGTAAATTCAGTTTGTCAGTCGTAGTTCATTGAGTGGCTCAGTTCACGACTCCGCTGCAGCAACTCAGTTTGTTTGCCTGATTATTTAAAGGTCAGTTTACTCCACAGAGCCAATAGATTCACTTTATACTGTTTGGGCTCTGTTCTACACCAACGTGCTCACAGATTAAACCCTAATATTCCCAAGCTATTCTATCAGAACCTGACTCTGGCAAGCTTTCTAAAGAAATACCGGATAGGGCTAGTAGTTTTGAAAGTCACAGAACAAGAAGCTTGTTATATTTTCATGCAAGGAAAGAAAGAAAGGGAGTGCTTCAGCAAAATAATTCTTCAAGTTTCACAGTGCAAGATCCTCGATCTTTCCAAAGCGGCACTGCTTTGCTTCACTGAGCTTCCCAAACTTCTCTCCCTCCATTATTCAGGTCTTCCTTCTTCAGCAACACTTCAATAATTAAGCATCAAGCTTAAGGAGTGCAGGGGAACACGCTCTACAGTCAGGCCACCAGGGCCTAGTATTGACCATTTCCTCATTCAACATAGATAGCAGGTGCATGTATATGCTAAGTCAGGTGTGTTTAAAAAAAGATCTGCATAATATTATGCACACCACCCGTGGCCGTGGGTTAGATTAGGACAAGTGGAGCTTCTAGTTTTGAACATCTTATTGCAAGTATCAAAGAAGTTGGTTCCAAAGCCAAGAAGAGATTAACCAATGTGTCACGTTTATTCCTTTTTCAACATTTTTTTGCTAATGGGTGAGATGACGATGGTAAAAATATTCCTCTTGTTTTTCCCTCAGGTCTCGTCAGAACACAGATTCAAGCACCTTCCGCTCCAGGACTCACAAGAGCCCCCACCCTCCGTCTCGATCTCCCCTCAGCCGCAGGCCAAGGTGATTATTTTGAATGAAATGTTTAACCTCTAATCATTTAGTCTTATTAACATTTGCTTAGTCACAAGCTTTAACTGCATGGAAATATGTACTATTAGAGCGCAAGATGAGGGAAAGAGGCTGATAAATAAAACCAGCAGTCGTCACAAACTTCTCGCTGTCACCGCTCAGGAACAGTTTGATTTCTCTCGGATTCCCTTTTCACATAAAGACCGAGAGCCTTTTTTTTTTAGGCTTGACAAACATTCAGGGCAAATATGTTTAATTGATCATGTTTTATTGGACTAGTGACAAGAGAATCCCAAATCACACTGATGCACATTCAGACTTCACTCTCAAGTTGACGCTCCCAGCTGTATTATGATGCTTATTCAACTTGGTGCCTCTGTAGTTTTCCATAAGCCACTGCAGAGGGGACAATTTCATATGCAGAGAAGTACTGGCACTGTGCAGGAGGCGAGAGACAGGGAGACTGACACCATCTCAGCACGCGAGCTGATTTGGCACCCACATGCCTAATGACACCCGACAAGCCAGAGAGTCGCTCATCAGTCGAAAACTTAACGGACACATCTTGTGCTATTCTGCGGTTGGGGGGGTGGTTGGAGGGTTTGAAAGTTGCACTTTCCTTCTTGATGAAGCCCTAACTAAGCAGAAAGTAATGACATGTGAAGTTGTGCTGACAGTTGCAGCTGCCTGGCTCTCGAGGCTGCTCGCCGGCACTCCCGCGGGCCTGTCCTGCGGGCTCCGCAATCATATCAGCTGCGTCTTATTATCATGTCCATTTCCTTTTTCAACCCCCTCCTCAACAATCAGTGTTGAGCAAACAGGGGAGCGGGGGTGGGGGGCGGCTTCTCCTTTGTGTATACCAGGCGGTTGTTCTTCGCGTCAACAGGAAAGGTGAATTTAGAGGACGAGCAAGAAAGTCGATGTCACGTGTATCTTGTCTTCCACAGGTATGACAGCTACGAGGAGTACCAGCACGAGAGGCTGAAGAGGGAGGAGTATCGCCGGGACTACGAGAAGCGGGAGTTCGAAAGAGCCGAGCAGAGAGAGAGGCAGAGGCAGAAAGCAATAGTAAGTCAACGAACGCTCCTCTCGTTTTCCTCTGCGCTGTACTTAACATCTGTCCCACTGCCGCTGATAAAAGACCACATGCACTGCTGTGGCACATGTACAAACTGCTGCAAACAAACATTAAAACCTCCCACAGACACACACACATTACTGAGAGAGACTCCCTCCAGCCTCGTGCCATGTGCCACAGTGTCTCTCTCCTGAAAGAATACATACAAAGTGAGTTACTGAATGATTCAGGCGACAGGCCCTTCCTCTTTATCTCCGGGTTGTGTATTTTTAACATCTCTGTCATCTGGAAACACTGTCGACTCTTATTAATCACACCACGGGGGTAAAATGTTAAAATAGTGGAAACTCTGAGATCAAGAAAAGGACAGAAAAGGAAATGGCTACTGATTCTCTGTCGAGCGCTTCTCCTTTTTCTTTATCTGTTTCAAAATGCAGCCCGATGCAGCGAATACATATTTCCTCCCATATCTCCACTCTGCTTGTCTCGGTGTGAAATTACTCAGGTTTCCCAGTGAGGTAACGCCACCCGTTGATAAAGCGAGCATTAAATGATGCAGTAATGCAAACGTGGCTCGGCATGCATACGTTTTCGGAGACAGAGAGACAAACAATTACGAGCAGTAAAGCTCAAGCTGTCAAACAAGGTTTTGGAGGCCAAGGATGTGAAAGCCTTATGTCTGTCTCACTGCACACATACACACACGCACACACACACACACACACACAGCCCTCAGGGTGCCATCGAGAAAAGACTGCTTATTTATCATTTGTCAGCACCTAAACCCTTAATTCAGCAAACACTTCTCTTTTTTGTCTAAAACCTTAAAGAGAGTGGGAAAAAAGCATAAAAACACTAACCTGTGGTTAATTTATATTTTTCTCAGCGACTCTATAAGTCGAGCAAGGCAAAGGTGAACTTTGAGTTTCGCACTCGGCTGCTGATTTACATGTACAGTGTGATACTTCCACCCTCAAGACAGCATTCAAAATTCTAACAGGCCTCAGTCGACTTGCCCCAGTAATGGCAAATAAATGAATGAATAAATAAATAACAGTAGTGATACACTATAGCCCCGGGCTTGTGCTGTATTATATGATTAGCGGATGCAATTAAACTCCTCAAAAGCTATAATTGCAGCCTGGTGCAGTTTGTTCTTAAATTATTCTGCTTTGACCCCCACGTCCTCTGAGGTTCATGGAAATCCATGTTTTTTTGCCCCGTGGCTCACCACTGCTGCTTTGAATGCTCCCTCTCTATTGGATATAATATCCTGACACTATGAAGAGACCTCTCAGTTAACAGTCCTGAGAGTTTGCTGTGTATTGTAACTTTGACTACAACGTCGGCAAAGAAAGAAACAGACTATTTTGTACGTAAGGCTGAGTCACCCCATGGCCCTTATGAAAGAAGAAGCAGCCCCACACTTAAGACATGGCATCATTTGATAAAAATCACCCTGCCTCTGGTTGATGAGTTGCGGAGAGAAAGAGGAATTGTGGTGCCAGGGCAGATTGAAGGCGCTTCCAAACTGCAGCTCTATCAGATAAGAGGGAGCGAGCCGAACCAATCACTGAGGAACACAACAGACAGACGGAGACGAGGGGGGGACAAAACCAGGGCACGGAGTCAGCCGGAGGTATCCACAGGAGTGATCAAGACCAATTCATTAGGGCCCGGTGAAGAAAAGAGAGGGGGAAAAAGAAAAACAGACTCCCCTTTTAATCTCCTTCCCTTTTGCTCTGTCTTCTCTCTTAACGAGCAGGAGGAGAGACGGGTGGTGTACGTGGGGCGACTGAGGTCCAACTGCACCCGGACAGAGTTGAAGCGCCGCTTTGAAGTCTTTGGCGAAATTGAAGAATGTGCCGTGAACTTGAGGGACGATGGGTAAGGCCCCAGGACTTTGTGTGAACGTGTGTGTGTGTGATAATTCACTAGTCTAGAATAGGGTGTGAGAAGACATTTATTTCTCACGATAATAATAATAATTCAATGCAACAGGCAAAACTTACAGCAAAGATGAGTATTTAAGACAAAGACTAAGCATATGCAGGTCCATAGCGCGTCCTGATTCATCTACTTCTCGGCCTACAGAGCCCCAAAGATACACATTTATTGATTCTCCTTTGCATATAAATAGCGTGATCGTCATTTATGATAAGGCCTCCTGTTTAGTTAATGTTGCCCTGCAGCGGCATTCCTGACGTCTCGCTTTCTATTCCTGACCAGGGACAATTTTGGCTTCATCACGTACCGCTACACTTGTGACGCCTTCGCCGCCCTTGAGAACGGACACACCTTACGCAGGTCAAACGAGCCCCAGTTCGAGCTGTGCTTTGGCGGACAAAAGCAGTTCAGCAAATCACATTACACGGACTTGGGTAAGTGCAGCTTTGTTGTTCTCTGCATCAGACCCCCGCAGTCAGGCAGTATATTTGCGTCGCTCTGAGGACTTTCAGAGAAAAGAGGGGAAGAGGAAAGCGGGAGGGGGAATAAAACAGCAATAAAAAAATAAAAACGAGGCTTGAGTAATGCCTCCAGATCAAAAGAAACCCATCTCTGTGCTGGTGCAGCCTTGAATGTGTCCACCAGGCATTTGTGGCTCAAAAGGGCAAAGACAGGTCAGAGGTCAGCCTGTGAGCACTCAGAGAATAGAGCTCCATTTCCTCCCCGCTGCTTGTATCTTCAGGAAAACGAGGCAGACTCCATTACTCATACAGACATGGGACGCTCGTTTCAGCCGTGTTGATATGAAAAAGCAAGACATTAGGGAGAACAATAGCACTTGAAAGCACGTGTGCAGCTGTGCATACGGTGTGTTCTTCTGTGCTGCGTGGGTGTGGGAATCACTTTCAGAGGCAAGGATGGAAATTATGAGGAGGAAGACAATGTAGAACAAAGACGAGAGAGGAGACGAGGTGAGGAAGAAGAAGGTGGGAGCAAGGTTAAGTCCCAGCAAACCCTCCTCCCTCTCGGGCGAGGTTCCCATCTGTCGCCAGCTGTTGCGGCGCGGAAATGTGGTGGAGCCTTGATGTGGCACGTAGGGGCCAGTCATTTACATAGGGGGAGGGTCCACAGCGTGCGTATGTACTTGGTTTGTCAGGAGTCAGGGGATCATGGAAGGCTGGAGCAGAGCAGAATTAATTAAGCAATTTCATGGAGTAAATGTACACATATGTAGCCGATGCGTGCACAGCTTCCATATTGGTCAGATACCAAATCCCAGATAGAATACTTTGCTCAAATGAAAGCTGAAGGCTGGATGACGCATTTGATAAATAATGCAAGCGATCTGTGAAATCAAGGCTTTTTCCTCTGGCAAGATTCCCTCTTTTTGACATGTGGATAAAAGAGGGTATTCTAGGATTCTTTTCTTCTGCAGTGGTGGCAATAATTGAGCAGCCATATTGAAAATGAAGCGAGACCAGCCCCGTTATGTTAAGCACGGCCACAAAAGATCGTCTCCTCCATTACGCGACATATAAGACACATATTGACATGTGTAGAATGTGGGGTCAGGAATATATAAGGCTTCAACAAACCAGGGTCAACAGGTCACTTGAGAGAAAATGAGCACTTTCCTTCAATAGATGAAGCCGTTAGTATACATTCTCAAGACTCATGCTCCGAGCCATCTTCTTTTTAAGAGCAAACACGATGAGGGATTGAAAGCGCGGACAAACGGTTGCTAATCCCAAAGCCTCGAGGACAGACATTATGCCGAGATTGACTAATCAGTCTAGCGGAATGGAAAGGGCCTTCGTTGGACCGCCTCTTTGTCAGGAACGGGCTATTTCGGTCGTCCCCACACTGATAGCGCAGGATAAAGAGATTGAGAGGACGGGAGGATCTTATAATAGTGTGGTATCCAAACCTCTCCTCGTCTTCTCAATCTCGTTGCCTCTTTCCTCCTCTTTTTTTGTTTTCTGAGACATGTCCATTAGTTTTAAGTAGAGCGCCAGGAGATTTTTCATCCCTCAAGGTGCGCAGTGTGACGCAATCTAGCCCTCGGCCGTAGCATTAGATCACGACTGGCGTCTCCTAGCTGCCATGGTCATTCCCATTTCTCACAGCGCTCCGAGTGTGCTGCTGGGCCCTTTGGGGGTCCCATTTGTGAAGCTGTCTGTTGGCAGAGATAAGATACTCTTTATGTATTATCAGGTTGATCAGGAAAAATAGCACAAGGATACACTTTCACATCTGTGGCCTCTGAGTCGAAAAAAATACTTCCCCTACATGAATTCCTTGGTAGTAAATGGGTTGCTACTGTACATAATTACAGTGGGTTGTGTGTGATCCTTCTTTGTCACTCATGGATTTGTGGGAATTTGGCAAAACTACACAAACTGTAGCCAAAGACGGGAAACAATCAGAGAGTGGTCAGTCCCATTATGTAACCACATTAATATTCCCTGGATCCACATTTGGATCTGCACCAAATTACACACACTTATATCTCTCCATATTTATTATCGGTCCTCTGAATTTGCTGTTTTTTTAATCAAAATCCATGAATTATTCTCGATCTCACAATGTTAAAGAAAGTAAAAACAATGGTTTCTTCTTAGGGTCTTGCCCCAACTCCTCCCCAAAATTCACGGGACTCAGTAGCATAGTTTTTGCATTAAATCAAACCGAATGAAAACATGACGTTGTCGGCAGAGGTAACCAGCATACAAGAATCTGTGAGTTCTGACCATAAAGTCTCATGGGAACATAAAGAATAATCTGCTTTTTTCAAACAATCATGTCTCTAACCACGATCCTGCTCGTCCCCCTGCAGACTCCCACTCGGACGACTTTGATCCAGCCTCCACGAAAAGCAAGTACGACTCCATGGATTTTGACAGCTTGCTGAGGGAGGCGCAGCGCAGCCTGAGAAGGTAACCAGTGCAGTGGCACCTGAGAGGGACGTCTTATACCTCACTCTTGTTTCTCGCTCCTTTGAAGACGAGACTACCAGAAGTTTTACACTCTATGTCATAGAGTATATAAGAGTTAAGTCTATAGACCTATATCAATATAAATGAATATATCAAAAATAAAGTTTACATGAACATAGCTGCTGAAGAGCGGGGTGGGGGAGAGACATTGCATTGTGGGAAAGCCAGTGATCCCTCAGAACCCGGTGCACTTGTTCTGTGCACTCTACTGCTGTACAACCATCAGTGAAAGAAGAAGAAGAAGCTACTTTTATCTCCAAGTACTACAATGCCCACAATTCTTTGGGGGTGAAAACATGCAGCTTGTTCAGCCAGATTTGTTTTTCTTCCTTTTTATTTTATTTTGCTGTTGATTTTTTTCTTTCTTCTAAATCTGGTGTTTGGATCTGGTGTTACATTACAAACAAAGAGTAAAGGGAATTGTGTCTTGGAGGTGAGATTCTCAAGATAACATTGTTGTCTACATTTTAAGGAGAAATGTAGCTGTGTATTTACAAATGCTCTAAAAAGGAATATTTTTATTTTATGTACATATGGGATAAAGTTCTTTATTTGTTACAGCTATGCACTGTAAAACGCAGCCTTTTTTAAAGATGAGGAGAACATTTCTTAATTCAGAATGTCGATCTGTAGTAATTACAATACTGTAAAACATATTGTACACCTACATGACGTTTAGAAGACATGACATGATTGTAAAAAAAAAAAAGAAAGAACCAGATGTGTCCAGTTGCTCATTTTGAGGGAGCATGTGAACAAACGTCTTTTTTTATGTTATTTTGTTGGGCAAAAACAGTCAACCATGTATAGTTTTCTCTGTTTATAAAGTTTCTCAATCAGTGTTTTTGCTTATACAACCAGTGTAAAATGCATTTTTAACGTGTTTTTCATGATTGTAAAAAAGGTA